ATCATGATGCTGTGCATATCTAAAATTTACAAAATGAACCATTGACTCAAATATAGTTCACTGAAGCATTAAAGTAACAAGAAAACAATAGTGTAAGTACCACCAATCCAAAACCAAACTCACTGTCATCAAGGCAATGCTGGCTCATAGTGAGCCTATAGGACAGGGAACAATGGCCCCTGTGAGGTTTTGAGTCTGAAACTGTTAACAGGAGTAGAAAGCCTGTTTTTCTGCTGTGGAGACCTTGAACTCTTTTAGCTGTGTCAATAGTTAATAGTCTGGTAGGGTTCAGAAAATTTGTCTTTGGTTGTTTCATCTCTTCTTCATTTAGAGGTCATGAATGAAAAGATTGTGTTTTCTACAGCACAACATTAATTTTAAAAAAGCATTAAGAATGAAAAATACACAAGCTTAATTATAGATTGTGAATTTCTTTCTGCTGGGACAAATGAAGCTGAACTTTTAATGATTTTATAAAAATTTATTTCTTCTCCTTTGACTATGCAAATAGTCAGAATTAAGAATGCAATGACTATGTTGATGCGTGTTTGAAAATTAGATTTTACGTAGCTCCATGGGCCATTTCACCCTAGTTTCTACTGTGTTGTCTGTTTTGAAACTTGATAAATAGTGCCACAGATGGAAGCCATGGGAGATTTTCGTGTTTGTTTGTTTTTTCAAAATTACAGGGAAATCTTTGAAAAACTGCCTTGGACAAAACCATTTGACGCCATATATTTACATTTAGAGAGGTTTATCTTAATGCAATGGCTCACACAGTCCATGGGTCAGATAGCGGGCTGAAGGCCTCTTTTGACTTGTGTAGCCGCAGGACTGATGAAGCTAAGATCAGCAGGGCGACCACACACTTCTGGCTATAGCGGCAAATGAATTGAAGGCTGGCAGCTAAGATGGTAGGCTTCTGACAACGTCTAGGGTCAGCAACCAGTACAGCAGAGCACTGGTTTAAGTTTAAGAAACCAGAGGGGAATGAGCCAGATGCAAGCTCTGGAGGCAGCAGAAAGCAAGCACATTTAATACAGTGCCTCTGTTGGAAGCAGCCACATCCCTGAGAGCTCTTCAGGGGAGATGACTACATCTTAACTGCCAAATATTTGAGAATCCAAGCTTACCTAAGTTGAAACAAGACCTTAACTACCACAGTATCCCTGATCAATTTGATACCTGTACATACCTCCTTAAATGACACAAAACCCCTAAATAAATACAATTATAAAGTCATAGTTGCATCTACAATGATACAACTAACATGTTTACAATGGAAACTAGTCTTACATGCCATATTTTATAATTAGGGTTAAGGTTCCCTAAAACCAGGGAACACGATAATTCCATGAGTGTGGGCATATTACCACACTTTATTATCTATAAAATGAATCATTTGATCTGGTACTATTGTGTGGGAGAGCTTGCCAATGGTTAGGTATGTTATAAGTCTATGGGTGATAGTTTTGGCAGAAGCATTATCAGCTGGTCAGGCAAATCTGTATTCAAAATGTCTATTCCAGCAGGGGAAAATACTGCTCTTTCCATGATGGAAATTATCCAGTATAATCACTCTGCCACCAAGTTGCTGGACTCAGTGTTGGCGGATTGAGTTCTCAACAATGGCTGCAGTTAAGTCAACTCTGGTGATTGGAAGTCCATCCCTGCCACTGTGGAAACTTCGTTCATGAACTCATTGGGCAATGACAAGAATGGCATGGTAAAGAGAATGACTGTGTAATCTTACCTATTGGTTTTTTAAAATCTTCCTCTCCAGGGATAATTCTTTGGAGAACATTCATATAAAATACAAATAGTTTCACTTTTTTTGCCCATTCACAGAGGTCTGTTCACATACACATCTACACATCTACAATAAATGATCATGGAAGCAACAGTCAAGCGATCATGTTTCATTAGGTAAAGCTGCTGCACAAGACCTCTTTATAGTATGGAAAAGCAATACCTTTGAAGACTAAGGTGCACCTGACCTAAGCCATGGTATTCTCCACAGAATCAGATGCATGGAAAATCTGGACACTGAACAAGGAAGAGAGAAGAAGAATCAATGCATTTGAACTGTGGTCTTGAAGAAGAATAACCATGGATGGATAAAAGGACAAATATCTGTCTTGGAAGAAGTAATCCTTAGAGGCCAGAGGGATCCCTAGAGCCAAGGATGGCAAGACTGTGTCATACAAGCTTTGGACATATTGACAGGACAGAGAAATCCCTGGAGAAGGACATCATGCTTGGTAAAAGGCAAGTGCAGCAAAGGAGGGGAAGGTCCTCAAGAGATAGATTGACCCAGTGGCTGCAACAATAGACTCAGGCATAGGAACAACTGTGAGCATGGTGCAGAACCCCCAAATATAGAGGTGGACATCAGGTCATTCTCCTTTCAAGTAAAATGAATATGCTGGTTACTTTCTACTAAGGTTCAATAACAAGCCAACAGCTGCTTCTCAAAAGGAGCATCGTTGTCTGGAGAGATTGTCATGGTTTTGCTCCAAAATGCTAAGGGTCCTGCTTACACAAAATCATAGTCTGAGCTCTTTTCAGCAACACTCCTTTCACAAATTTGTGTCTCATCACTGTGCTAAAAAGTGAGTCCAGTGGGTCTCTGGGTATATCCTGATAAATTCATTCTAATATGCCAATCTCTCTAAGTCTTTGGAGACTGTCTTCTACACTATACAAACACAGGTTTGGTACTTTATAGATTTATTGTAGGTTATTGCACAATTCCCTGTTTCCATGAAACTATTGGCCACCCCCTTGAAGCGATCCCATTAGGGACGATTCCTAGGTTTTTATTGCCAAATGACTGAGAATCCTGGACTCATTAAATTGAAATAAAAAATTAACTATTACAGAAACCAGTTGAGCTTTTCCACAGTAAGGAAACAAATGATACAAACATTAATGAGCATTGTAAATAAAATTCAGAATAGAGTCAAAATGACTTCAAATCCTTAGTTCTTATATTTAAATATATGCTTCATGATATGTCTATCTTAGCTCCCAATAAAATGTTTTTTGTTAAAAAAAAGTATGTTTCACTCTAGATAAAATGCTTATGAAATCATCCTCAGAATTAATTATAATGTACCCACTTTTCATATTGCCTATCTAGAATTTCACATTTATGACAATGGTAAAAATAAACAACTACCTGACTATTTTATAAATGACTGTTCTGATAATAACAAATGTAGAGATGTGAGGAGAGTTATACTTACTGATATGGGTAAGGCTGGGCCATGATATACAATATTTTGGCAATTATGTAATGATATAATTTGGCAGTTGTATAATGACGTGATGTGTTGGCAAAATTTAGCAGCTAATGATGTAATAACCCTTCATTTTGAGGTCTGATGCAGTCATCATCCATTTTTGTAAAACACTAATTTTCGCATAATTTTCCCCTGGCCATTGAAACCTAACTTGTCCATAAGTGAGGAGTAGTTGAACCATGTCAGAGGCATGCTGTGAAAGAGAAATTAATACGAAATGATCAGTAAAGGAAGTTTGTTTTAAATTGAACGCATTTATAAAAATTTAGATTACAAATAAGTTTTTGGTGTATGTGTGACATGTCTATGAGGGAGGAAAGTCTGATCATTTTATCATTAAAACCTCTTGCTACATAATTCCAGCCCCCGCCCCTTTTATTTTTTCCCCATTAATTACGTTATTTCATGAAATGTTTTCCAAGCATCAATTATTGGTCTGTTAATGCCTTTGTTTTCTCCTTAATACAGCCACCAGAATCATCTTCGTAGAAGCTCATTCAGATCCTGGTGCTCTGGTAGCCGACATTTTCCACTTTCTCCCCTCTCATCCAGCGTACAAAGCAAAGCTGTTCTACTACCTACAGAGCCACGTATGACCTTTCCTCCTCTTGGTCAGTTATCTTTCCATCTATGACTGCTCCCCCACTCTTCTTCTCCACCCCACTCCAACAACAGGATTGCCATCTAGTCCTTTAACAGGCCCGGCACGCTCTCCTTTTAGCACATTGCCATTTGCTGTTTTAGCTCCCTTGAAAAAACATTCCCAAATCTGCTTGACTTCTATCTCTCTTTAAAAAAAACAAAAAACAACTCAAATGACTCCTGCTCAGTAATGCCTCTCTTGACTAGCCTAAGTAAAATTTAAAGCTCCCACACAAGTGATTTTCCTTCTCTATGTTGATTTTCTACATACTGTTGACCACGATGTGAGCAGACAACATATTTTACTCTATCTTCTGTAATGTCTGTTTCTCCCACTCAAACGTAAGGCACAGGAAGTCCAGAGTTTGAGTTACCATTAGTTACCATTACCATTTAGACTGAACACATGGAAGAAAATAATACCTACTGGCTAGATAAATAAATACAACATTGAAATTTGAAGACATTTTGGACTCTGATAGACCATACTTTGGTGATTTTGACCTCAAAAGCCATGCCACTGCTGTCTTGAGTCTTTTAGTCTCTGGGTGACATTGGCTGTACTTAAGAATATGCTCACATCATTTTATATAAATTCTATTCAGAGAAACTTTAATTTTTCAGACAAAGGAATAAGATGGGTTTTATAGATCCTTTGAAAGATTATCTTTTGAAACACATATTCATTTCATTGTATTTTTTTTATTTCATAAATGGACTTATTAAAAAAGAAGAATTTAAACTAACTTGATTTTTTTTTTTTACAAAGCTACGTTTAATACTTTGGGGTGAGCCCCACAGGAATAAAAAACACTGAGAAGGGGTAACCCCCTCAGCCCCCAGGTATGGCCCAGGGGGAGAGGGGCTACCCGAGGGGAAGGAAGCACAAAAGGACCC